CAGCTGACAGTTTTTTAAATTCTCACAATAGAAAATCTATAAATTTCACTTTTTCAAAAACTTTGAAATTTTGAAATTCTAGAAATCACTGTAAGTTAACAGACAAAACGAAGGAGCTTTTGCAGTTCTATGGGAATAAAAAATCAAAAAATGTCTATGGACTTAATTAATGGAAAACCGCATCATTATTGAAAAAGGAAAAAAAAATGTTTCAAATCTTTTTAAAATTGGTTTTCGGTGAATAAATATCAATATCATTCTAGTTGGCTAATCAAAAAAATCCAAAAACAAAAATCAGTTCATGGGTTTTATTGCTGGAAACTTGCCTAATTTACGTAATTCTTGACATCTTTTTTCTAACAAGTGATTTGGTTTTTTTTTTTGTTGATTACTTATCACAAAAACCTGTTTAATAAAGGTATGGTAAATGATAAGAAGGGTTTCGGCTTATAGTTGATAAAATCATGTTTTCTTCATTGAATTTGAATTTTTCTCTGACAAAGTTAAACGAAAGTATCATTTTTTAAATTTTTCTCGGAAAATTTTAGTAATGTGAGTCGCACAAATCGAGGATGGTTTTAAAACTTTCAATTTTTCAAATCTATTGAAACTGTAAAAAATTACAATTGTTGACTTTTTTCTCATTTTTTTTTGTTTTTTTTCCTGGAAATCCGTAATTTTTCCAAACCCGACTGAAAAAGATTTTTACAGTTTCAAAAATTTCGAAAAATTTATTTTTGAAATTTCCAATTAGTGGTATTTTACTGCGCGCTTTGATACTGAACACTTTGTATTAGCGCAAAATCTGTATTAGAAGGGCACACTGTTCAGTTTGAGCTGATTTTTCTTATCTCCTATACGAGATATCAAAAATGTGTCAACTAATAAAATGATTTTGATGTTATAATAAACAATTTATCTGTTGACAACTTTTTTATATCTTCTACAGGAACTGAGATAAATAGGCTTAAACTGGGCTTAAGTGTTAGGAAGCCCTTCCATTACAGGGTTAACGGTAATTTCCTTTTTCGGTCTTTCGTTTTCGTGATTTTTTAACTTTTTTCTTATCAAAATTTCAGACTAAAGATTCTAAAAACAATCATATGTAACCTATGTGATTGTAATGTACGCTTTCCAAGTACATGTGACCGTATGAATGTAGGTTGGGTACACTTCCTTCTTTTGACATTACACTTTTTTGTCTTAAAAAATGTTATCGGTCTTATTTTTATTACACAATCGGATTCATTTGAATTATTAGTGCAAACATTGTCCATTTTTAAAAGATTCACTGTAACGGAGAAAATATTCCGTATTCCCGAAGATTCGTATACCGGGAATAGTCTATTTTGAACATCGACAAAACTACTACAGAATTTTCCAATTTGTCTGAAAATATTAAACAGTATACTAAACAAAAATAGAGCTTTAGTTTTGTAATTGACAACTTTTTTGTACAAATCCTAGAAAGCGAGATAAATGATTTTCAAGTGACACAACTCGTGTTTTAGGGCTAATATTCGAATTGTTGGTCATTTTTTGATTATATCTCATCAGAATAGAATTCAGCAAAAAACTTGTCAATTACAAAAATGAAGCTCTATTTTAGTTCATTATATTCTGAAATTTTTAGACAAATCGAAAAATTCTGGACCACTTTTTTGTGACTCTAATTTGGACTATATTCTACTTAAGAAATATGAGTAATCAAGTTTGTAATGGAACATTTGACGATATATTCAAAATTTGAAACAAGGAATATTAGATCATTTTTTCACTGTTTCGTGAAAAAATAAGTCAAGCATTGAACAGGTGTCTGTAATAAGAATTCCAGAGAACATGGATTCCTATATACCGTAAAACCTCTAATAGAACGACACCCGGATCGTTTACTTTGAGCCTATATATCTCACTTCTTTCGAAAGATATCAAAAAGTGGTTCACTAGTAAAATGTTTATCAGGATATCAGCAACATTTTACTAGTTAGCCACTTTTTGATATCTTTCACAGAAAATGAAATATATAGGCTCAAAGT